AGGCAAGGGGAATGGAGCTACAAACTAAGCAAATATCATACCAGGATGCCCATAAATAATATCTAAAATGAGTATATCAAAAAACAGCAGTAAAAGTGTATTTATTTAATGACAGCTCCAGAAGAAAAGGCTGAGTTAAAAGTTAAAAGTGTATTCAGTTTGTGAAGATAAAAAATTCTGGAGACAGATGGTGGTGATGGTTGCACAACAACGTAAACGTACTTAATTCCACTGAATTGTACAGTTAAAAATGGTTAAAATGGTAACGGTTATGTTATGTATTACCATAACACAAATTTTACCATGATTTTTTTTAAAAAAGGAATGAAGTGCTGATACTTACTACAACATGGACAAATAATGAAAACACCATTAAGTGAAATAAACCACACACAAAAGGACAAAAACTATGATTCCATTTATATGAAGTATCTAGAATAGGTAGATTCATAGAGACAAAAATTAGCAATTACTAGGGGTTGGGGGAACAGGGAATGAGGAGTGACTGCTTAATGGGTTTCCTTTTGTGGTAATGAAAACATGGAAATAATAATGTATCATACCAAAACCATTGAACTATATAGTTTAAATAGGTGAATGATATAGTGAGTGAATTATATCCCAAAGCTATTAAAAAAAAAAGTTGTACATGAACGTTCAAAGCAGCACTAGACAAAAGATGGAAACAATCCAAATGTCTATCTCCATCAACTGACGGATAAACAAAATGTGGTAAATCTATACAATGGAATGTTGTTCAGCCATAAAAAGGAATGAAGTAAGGACATATGCTACAACATGGATAAACCTTGAAAACATTACACTTATGACAGAAGCCAGACACATAGTGTATGATTCCATTTATATGAAACCTCCAGAAAAAGCAAATCCCCAGAAAAAACAAATCCGTAGAGACAGAAAGCAGATTGATTGCCATGGGCTGCAGGAGAGTGGCAGATGGATGGGTAGGGGGTTTCCTTTAGGGGTGATGAAAGTAGTGATGTACTAAATGCCACTGAATTGTGCAGTTTCAAGTGCCCGATGTGTAACGGTTTATGTGATGTGTATTTTACCACAATAAAAAATTGTGGTCTACAGCCATGCCACCCTGAACACTCCAGATGCTGTCTGATCTTGGAAGCTAAGCAAGGTCGGGCGTGGTTAGTACTTGGATGGGAGACCACCTAGGAATACCAGGTGCTGTAGGCATAGAAAAAAGAAAAAAAAAAACCAACTGTGTCTTGACTGGAAAATGTGCACAAGGAAACATTCAGGGGTGAGTGACATCAATGTCTTATATCTTGTTTGGGGTGACAGTTAATACAGTTGTATACATTTGTCAAAACAGCGAATTTCACACAAGATCTGTGCATTTTACTGTATGTACAATATTCCAATTAATAAAAATAGTTAAAAGTAGGTGCCTCTAGGGAACAGGGGGAAAGGTTACAGGGGACTGCTTTTTTTTCTCATTAGAAACTTTTCGTACCACTTTTAAAAAGCCATATACATTAACTCATTTGGAAAAAAACTAAAATGTAATTAAAAATTTCCCCATTCCAACCTAACCAAACACATCACTTCGCCCGTGGTTCCAGTCGGGAGACTGAGTTAGCGGAGCAAGGAGTCGGGCGGGCTCCGCAGCTGAGGTCCCGGCTGGGAACGCCTACGTGGGCAGTCCCCAGAGTTTAGCCACTGCATGTGCGCCTTCCCGCGGGGGCTGGGACTAGGTTCCGGATTCCACTGTCAGGAGGCCAGGAGGGAAGACCGTCGGGGACAAAATCGTAGGTTCCACAAATGACAAGGTCTTCGATCGCTTCCAGAGCCAGCGGCAGAGACTTGGGGTCCTGGGCGCGTTTTCCAACGGCCTGCCAGTTCCCGGCCTCGCGGCGCAGCCGCTCCCCGCGTTCGGAGCGGATCACCCGCCACTGTGTCGCGAGGGCGAAGGCGGCGCTGGAAGCCGCCAGCCTGTCCATTTTTCTTGAAGGCAAGAAGTCTCCCCCTCGATCTCCCCTCCGTTCCCTCTCCCCACCTAAAAACCCACCTGCAGCAGCCATATCATTTGAGGGCAAGTGGACAATGAGACCAGAGAAGCCACGCGGGCGCCATGTTTGATATAATCGAGAGATGGCGCCCTTAAGAGCAGTCAGTGACAACTGAAGCCAGGATGTCGCCATATTTTCTGAAGGCACCTTCCGGGTCTCTCAACCCGGGTGTCCATGGCCAAGCTGCCAAGAAGCGAATAAACGCCGAGGGGGTTGGTTTCTCCTCATCAGAATCCCTGAACCTCTAGCAACCAGTCCCTGCTACCTCGGTCCCCTCGGCTGCGTTCGGATGCCAAGGCTGGGAGGGGCTGCGGCCGGGGAGCCCTTACTGCGGACGACGAAAGCTGAGCCCGGGGCGGGGAGGCGGTGGCCCCGGGGACAGGCAGCCTCTGCTCGGGGTTGGGAGGCCCCATGGCGCCGCCCCCAGCCCCGCTTCTGGCACTGACAGCCGGGGAGACCCGACCTGCTTGCAAAAAGCCCGGGGACGTGAGCTTCGCGGAGGTGGCCGTGTACTTCTCCTTGGATGAGTGGGGATACCTGTGGCCAGCGCAGAGGGCTCTGTACCGGGACGTGATGCGGGAGACCTACGGCCACTTTGGCGAGCTTGGTGAGGCCCGGGTCAGAACATCCCTCTTTTTTCACTGGGGTTCACAGACGAGATGATATAGAGGGACCCAGAATATTGTGAGCCCTAATCTTTATTCCACCAACAGCACCAGCTATCTCCTATTCCCAGGGCTTCAGGTACCCCCTTGGGAATCCTTCCATCCTGCATCCGCTTCCTTCAGGCAGGAGCACTGAGACTGTTCAGTTAAGAGCATAAGTTCTGAGAAGTGCCCTCACCCTGGCAGGGGGATGCCATCTTCCCAGGGCAGCCTCTCAGGCTAGCACTGTGATCCCTGTTCTCTCCCAGGATTCCCAGGCCCCAAACCAGCCCTCATCTCTTGGATGGAACAGGAGAGTGAGGCTTGGAGCCCCGCCGCCCAGGATCCTGAGGAGGGGGAAAGCGTGGGAGGAGCTGTGAGAGGTGAGGGATTGTCCCAAGCCTCCCCGACCTGGTGACCTGGCTCCAGGGCTTCCTGTCTAGCAATGTTTTCTTTCAGATTCCACTCCCAGCATCCCTAGAGGAATGAAAGAGCCACCCGATGTTGGATAATAGAGGAGGAAAGAAGGCAGACCTGGTACAGTTTTCAGAACTTGGGACAGTCATCATGTCGAGACCAGAGTAGGAGAATCAGGAGCCCAGGTCCAAGACTCAGGTTTCCAGGTCCCTGTGGTAGAAAGCACCATGCATTTTCCTTTTTCAGAAACAACTAAAACTCCCTAAGAATGGAAGTGGCTTCAGATCCACCTTTCTCATTCCTGAAACAAAGCAAACTAGTACATGACAAAATGCCCAGTAATGGACAACTCGGCTCTTCTCCCCTCAGCCCCGCCCCCCAGCAGAGTGATTTCCAGCACAAATAGGATTCCTCATCTGTAAATGTCCTTACCTTAAAAAAAAAATCAAGAAAACATAATAATAATAGCTACTGCTTTTTGAGCATTTGCTAAGTGCTTAACGTGCTTGTACTCATTTAATCCTCCCAATAACCCCGAAAAGAAACCATTGATTCCCATTTGATACATGAGGAACGGAGGCCCAGATAATTCACTCTTAAGAGATTTGAACTCTATTTACCGTCCTTTAAAGCCTGCGTGTTAATCATTAGGCAATACTTTTCTGGCACTTTAAGTAAAAGCACCCCATAACATGAGACGGTCTAAGCAAATGTGTTTTAAAATGTAATTTAATTCCTATTCCCAGGAGTTGACCCAAACAAAAAGGAAGAGGAACCTGAAGAAGGACCAGGAGCCAAGGGACCCAGAAAGACTCCTGGGATGGAGAAGCCTGAAGGGCTGGTTAAACGCAACCCTGACTCAGCCATCAAGACTTCGGCAAGAGCACAGCCACTCACAAAAGCTGCCTGGGACCAGAACATGGGTGCGCGGCCCCAGGTCCCGGTGCCCAGCGTGGACGCTCAGGCCAGCCAGCGGCGCCACGTGTGTGCAGACTGTGGCCGCCGCTTCACCTACCCATCGCTGCTGATTAGCCACCGGCGCATGCACTCGGGGGAGCGACCCTTCCCCTGTCCTGAGTGTGGCATGCGCTTCAAGAGGAAGTTTGCAGTGGAAGCGCACCAGTGGATCCACCGCTCCTGCTCTGGGGGGCGGCGGGGTCGGAGGCCTGGGATCCGGGCTGTACCTCGGGCCCCAGTCAGGGGTGACCGGGACCCACCCGTGCTGTTCCGGCACTACCCGGACATATTTGAGGAGTGTGGGTGAGCGACTCCCAGAAGCGGAGTTGAGCCTGACCTTACCTAAGGACTGACTGGGCCCTGAGTGGGGCTCCTAAGTCAGGGACCTGAGAATAGAAATTCATCAATTAGGCTTCCCTCAGATATCTCTCAAGTTTCCAAACTTGTAAAAAGGAAAGTGCCTGTAAAGATTCAAGTAGATTAAACTTGACAGCTCTCTCTCCAGTCTTTTTGGAAAAAAAAAAAAAAAAATGAAGAGAGTGAGACACTGGACTTTTATCAAAAATGCTATCTCACTAGCAGGGGCAAGCAGGATCTTTTCACTGCCTCAGAAAACACCACCTTGCTGCTTATCTACCTGAGAGGTAAATGCTGAGGGGGACTCCAGCTGGGGAGCAGGCCCAGATGGAGGGCATGGGTAAGCCCTGGCTAACTGCCATCAGAAGGCAGCCCGGGAAGTGAAGTGTACTCTTTGTACAGAAGCCCCAGCACAGAGCTGGTCTCTGCAACTTGTCCCAAGGCATAGCTGGTATCACAGGCCCTCCCCAAGCCTCACTATTTTATTTGTAAAATGTGGATTACTAATATCTACCTCAAAGGAAAGGGTTACTGTGAGACTGAAATTTTAACACAATAGTATGTATGATAGTAAATGTGCAATAAACATCTGTCAAAAGTGAATTATTGACATTTTACACCTCAGAAAGTTTAAAGAAGCCTGCTAAGGATGCAGGGCCTGGATATCAATAGCCCCACTAGCCATGTTTTACAGATGATTAAACTGAGGCTCAGAGAGAGGAAGTGATTTGTCTCAAAGTTTCATTGCTTTAAGGCAACAAAGCTGGAAACTGACACAGAGCCCAGGTATTTCTACCACTTCCTCTGAGCACTCAGATCTGGAGAGAACATGGGTCAGGGGCTCAGGCGAGGGTGAGGTAAGAACTGAGATTTGGACAGGGAGCCAGCCAGAGAGCAAACAACAGCAACTGCAGAACAGGTTTTGTGGTCCTTAGTTTCTAGCTAGATAGAGGTCTCCCCTTGGTGCTAGGGGTGGCTCCTCAGGATGCGGGGCTCAACCCTGTCTGGGGGAGTCT